AGGAGAGGTCTGCAGCTGCCTCCAGATCTGATGAGGATGATGCACCTCCATGGGATCTCTATAATTGCCAGTCGTTGTTACAGTTATTCTGGGAATCGGGACCAGTCAACAGTAACACGCGTGTTGCAGACTATGAACCACTGCTTGACTTGATCCAGATAGAGATCTGAAGTCCAATCCATTGCTATTAGTTGCAGCTGCTCCCAGACGCTTTACACCTGGTTCACAACCAGTGTTCACTTCATTCTGCGATTCCTTTTATGTATTGTATTGCCTTGTCAAAATAAACATTTTTAATTTAAAGGCAGCCACTCCCTCAGTGTTTGTCAAATGATCTTCGACCAAATAAACATAGTTGCTACTTTTTTCAAAAACAATATCTTTTACAGACCAGTTGCATTATAATACCTAAAGGCTCCAGTTCAGTGTTGACTTAGTCCGCATATTTGTAGAGACAGTTACAGTCTTATTGTTTTCAACATCATTTGTATTTTCAAATAGATTTCATAAATGATTGTCCACACGCCTGATAATAATCCCTCAAGAAAAAAATCATTAATAAATTGGTCACTCAATCCACGACTGTTTGTGGGACACTGCTGTGTGCAATTGGCTGCCGCGATTCGCCCACAAAATATAGTTAATTCACTTTACAGCATATTCTGTGAAGCGCTTTGAGACGTCTGGAAGACGTGAAAAGCGCTATATTAAATGCAAGGAATATTATTTCAAAATTTCAGAAATGTGACAAGAATCAGCACGGATCTTGGTGAGCCCTACTGTGTGTATGGAATGACATTAAACCCGTTTTCCTATGAATTTCTTGTCCAGACGTTCGAGCACGAAATGTTAAACCAGAAATATAACGCTGATCGCTCCGCTGAGCATTTGCAGAATGTGTTCTCTTCTTATCACCGTTCGCTTAAGAAGAGATACTTTAATTTACACTGAGTTCTTACGGTGGAGATGGGGCTTAAAAGATGTGAAAAACCCAACAATAAATAAAAACAAGTTTTGTCAAAAATGCGTGACTGGCGACCTGTCATTTTTTATTTCCTAAACATGTCACGATCGCTGTGTTTATGTGGGACAATCTCAACAAGACGTGTGTGTGTGTGTGTGTGTGTGTGTCTGCAAGTCGTTTGGTTAGAGTTTGTAAAAGAACACACACACACACACACAACGCTCCGGACATTTCTAATTTGTTGTTAATTCGGTTGAATCCCAAAAGGGTTAATTCCACCGAAGATTGTTCAGTTTGAAACACACCATTGAAACTGGAAATTAAGATTCGATGTTTATCTATACCTTGATAGCAATAGCTTTAAAAATAGATATGTGCCCAAATCTACCTTGAACAGTCTGTACAGACCAGACCAGTGTACTTTAACGTGGAAATTTGGAGCTAACTAGTTATACAATGCAAAAATCCCGCTGAATACCGAAAGGCTAATAGTTTGAATAGTTCCCTGTTCAAATACATCTACCGACTTGTGTGTACTGACTGATAGCGGCTTTCACATTCTTACTGCAGGGTTGTTAGAAAATGCGACCACAAACATGCTCTCGGTGGGATGCTATTAACGCTGTCACTGTGACAATATTTTGGAAGAGAAGGGAAAAAGATTCGAATTTCACTTGGTCACCAAATTCCCATCCCGTGTAATAATCCGATTAATTTAGCTTTGATTTCCGAATGGACGTGTGTGAATTTCTATCACACGGCGATAGACACAGATGGGCATTGAGAATGCAGTGGAAATCAATACGATTCTGATCTGGATGTTTTTACAAATATAACTGTTATTGTTCGGGTGTGCAAGTGATCTCGAAAAGTATTGTCTTCCCCTCGCGATGTCAGATGTGCAGTTTTTAACTGATTATTTTGAAGCTCTACGTAAACTGAGGCTATGTTTGCTTTTTCGTGTATTTTCTGGTCTTCATCATACGCATGCAGTTCTCTGCTTTGCTACACCAGTGTCCTGCTCAACTCAAAACGTTTTCACACCGGTGTGCTCTGCTGTCAGCAGCCCAGATAGAGGCAGCTCCTATTGCAAGCCAATGCCATCAGCCAATCAATCCAATCTGACGAAAAATATGACATTTATCTCGGTGTCATTTTGTCAAAGTGCGATTCGAACATTTTCCCTGAAAACGTGTCACCGAAGAGCGCTTTGGGACGTCCTCCTGACGCGAAAGGCACTATATAAATGTAAGTTGTTGTTGTACCTGGTGAGGCTAAGTTAATTGAATGGAACCAAGTATGCAATAAATCATAGTCGAATAAAGTGCATGCAAAATATTGCGGGTGATAGATACTTGTACACAACAAGAAGGGTATCAGTACTGTGTAAACAAAGTGCCTGGTACCTTCCCCCCTTGTTGTGTAAACGTTACACAAAGCAGCAGTGGTGAAGTAATGAGGTGTGAAACAAGTCAGGAGGCCTCAGCACAGGGTGCATGTCATGTTACGAACACGAGAGACGTATAGCAATCACCCCAAATGCCAAAACACCCTCAGGGGGAAATTTTTTTTTACAAAATGAATGGGCTATTCGGAATGAAAAACATTGCTACAACATCAGGAGATCAGCAGTTGGATCCGGGTTTACTGTCAAAACAATTGCACTCCCTCCTCTGTCCTGGCTCATACCGTAAGTAACAAACCATAACATAGCACGTTCCCCTGACATCCAATACACAACAGCCCCAAACCAATACTCACCGTGAGCTTATAAACACCGAAACCGCGATAGATAAGTCACAATAAAACCTTATTGGGTCATTTTAAACAATGTATAGGTATAGCACACTGTATACATGAAGTAGACACAAAAGCGTACCTGTGTTATTTCCTAAACGTTTGCAACTAGACGTTGGTGTTGACCTGAATGAAATGTTTCAAGAATTCATTTGGCTGAGAATTACTATTTTCTCTTCTTCCTGAAAACGTTATGTTTCCTGTGCATCGATGAGTACTATCAATGCTCGAGTATACGTGAAATCAAAGACATAATTTCGAAAACAGCCACAGCAGTACGCGATATTCCTATTACCATATTATTCATAATAAAGAGTTACGCGGATAAACGAACACGCGCTCATCCAAAACAAACCGCTCAGTACCCGAAGAGCATTCCGTGATGCGGACACTTGTCCTCGAAATCCTCCACATCGCCAGTGCGAGTTTACATACCAATAAAGTTATGATCGTTTGTTCCAGTTATCTCCCAGAACTTCTCACAAGTCTCCACTTACCGAATCCGGTGTCTACAGCATTCAACCGCGAGGTGGGTAAATTGTAAGGGTAAACTCATACATGTATATGTATATATATATATATTATAACCACGGCTGCTCGGCACAGTCTGGGAAACGGAGTGAAAATATCCGCCGGTAGACAGGAACTCTTAAAATTCGCGGTCTGCTCTCCATGAAAACCCTGAACGAAAACATGACGTTGGTGAACGCAATGCTTTCAAGTGCTTCACAAACTCCCGGGTCAGAGTATCTTCTCTCCTGCTGTTCTGCCTCTTTACTCGTGTCAGTTATTACATGTTTACTCAAACTCAAAACGGGACTCAGCAGTAAGCTGTAAACTTAGTTGCGCGTGAATAATCAGACACATAACCCCATGAGCCCATCACTTTTTCTCTCTCACTAATTTATAAAGATAATTATTGACACCCCGTGATATAAATAAATAGCTAAGAATGTCTACCACGCATTTGACAATGTCATTGTATAGCGGCCAACAGTGTGTTTGCTGTTTAGTCTGTTTATTTCTGCCAGAACACCTTGGTTGGAGGTATGCACACAGGGTGCTGTAATGTTTCTCAAACCCCCTCTTTGCAGGCAGCGTGTAATTCCGAAAGTTCAAATTACAGGGGAAGTGCTGAAGACGAGTGTCCTGTTTCTGTTCACACGGTTATACCACAGCTTAGCCATGCAACCAGTACAAAAGCCACTCTTTAAAGAAAAAAAGAACATCAATGGGCGCTTCTGTCTTTCGCTGTCTATGGTCACTTTAAACACACAAAGCTTGACTTACACGGCATATCCGTGTCTGCGATTTGACTCCAGGGTTTTGTAGATGGTATCCGAGAGGTACCTACCTGGTTTAACTTGTGTGTTTGTTATAGTTCAGGTTTTAAACAGGCAGGGATTTTGTGTGTTTGCTCCACGCACAAAGATGTATTACAAGAGAGTTTATTTAGAAAGACAATCTGAGTTGTAAACATGTCCCATTTTATTATATTTTTTAATATTTGAAAGAAATGTCTGACCTGCACAACAAGAGGCAGGTTTCCTCCTTTCTTTCTATGCCAAAATATTAAACAGGATGTAAATAACTAACTGCTCTACACTGTGGACGGGGCAGATCGACTGACACTTTAGCATTTATAGCCCACGGCATAAATCCCATTGAAAATGTTTTGAAAACATAAAAAGTGCTCACGAGTTTCGAACCCATTACAAACCGCAGCGGCTTCTCTCCGGCAATTCAAACCCAATCAATCTGCAAGTCATATTTTTGGAACCGAACTCGTCGGCAAGAATGTGAGAACGTTAATAACTTTCAGAAGAGAGAGAGAGAGAGAGAAAGAAAAGAGGAGAATCAAAATTATGGCCAATTGCAGTGAAAGACGTGTGTATATGTTGTAGATGTCTGTAGAAGGCCGTGTGTGTAAAAAAAAGGGGGGGGACGAGAAGGTTAATGTTCATCAAAACAGTCTGACTGCAAGCAGTTAGCTGATATTTTTCCCCCTCCTTCCCTCCCTCTCTCCAAAAAAAAATAGCTCAAAGTCTGCAGAGCCCATTCCCTTTTAAGTGAGACCTTCCCAGAGCTTTCCCACGCTTTGCCCGACCCGCGTGTTTGACGTAGGGCCCCCGACGTCACGGCGCCTCTCCGCCAATGGGAGAGGAGATTTCTGGGCGAGGGGGGGCGTGACGGGCTGTCAATCATCGCCCTCCCGGGGGTGTGGGGAGGGAGGGAGGGAGGGGGGGGAGGGGGGAAGCGTGAGCTCAGCGAGACATTGCAACATTGATATAGCTTATACCGTGGGAAAGAGCCTCAGACGGGGCTCAGCCTCCCGGCCATGCGCAGGGACAGCCGCACCGCACCGCCTGCACTGCTCTGCACTGCTCCCTCCCAGCGCAGCGATGAAGCGACCCTGCGAAGACAGTTCCTCCGACAGCGAGATCGACGAAACCATAGACGTGGGGAGCGAAAGTAACTACGGGGGGTGAGTTTCGTGTCGCTTTTTTCTGTTTCTGTGTGTGTGTGTGTTTTTTTTAAAAAAACTTTTTTTGGGGGAAAAAAAAACACCTGTTCAGTTCCGCTTGTGAATCCACCCCCTCCCCTCGGAATAAGACTGATTGCACCATCGTTTCTGTTGTTTCTACAGACAGAACAGCAATTCGATCATAAGATCCGGTTCCCCTTCTACAACTTCGCAAATTATGGCCAGGAAGAAGAGGAGAGGAGTAAGTGGTTTATTTTCTGTGCACTCACTTCGATTGCCTAACGAATGCATAGAACCTGTCTTTGATACGAGTGTTGGTTTACTTTTGCTCAGATCATTGAGAAAAGGCGTCGAGACCGGATCAACAACAGTTTGTCAGAGTTGCGTCGGCTGGTTCCCACTGCGTTTGAGAAGCAGGTAACTATCGGGGAGGCGCTGAGCCTGATTTTTATATTCGGTTTGTGTGTTAAACTGTGCAAACGCCAACGTGTCTTTCAACTGTTGCTTCAGATGCTTATCACACAGTGACAAACCTAATGCATTCATAATCATTTGTTAATGAGTGGATGCGATTTTATTGCATGTTCTACCTGGTCGAAATACTATAGCGAGGCGAAGGGGACGCGTTAATTAATAGATTTAAACGGGAGCAGAATTGGGTCTCAGAAAAAAAACCAGTTGCAAATGTTGTGTTTTGCCCCCTCAAGGGATCGGCTAAGTTAGAGAAAGCGGAAATACTGCAGATGACAGTGGATCACTTAAAGATGCTTCGGGCAACCGGAGGTAAAGGTAAGGAGTTAATTGACTGGCTCTTCAGAGGCGATTTGGAGAAGTAATCTGAGCAAACAGCGCGCTGACAATTGTGGGCGGCCCCGGGTTGAGTGCAGTGAAAATGCTAATGGCATCATTGAGCTCGTGGGAAAGAGCCGGCGGGACAAAGCCAGCACTTGACCCCGACTTCTGTTTGCTTTCCTAACATTGCGGGAGTGAGCGCTCTGTGCAGCCAGGGAGCCGCATGCAGAGATTGTTTAGGCTTTTTGCAGGGAACAGCCAGACCTGCCCAGAGAGACAAAACAAACACAAACATGGCCTCTCAGCAATGTCTCCACACTGCCACCTATTGTCAACGTGCCGTACCCCCCCCCCCCCCCCCCCCCCCACTCCCCCACACACACACACCCCCGTCCATCCGCCTCTCACGGCAGGACGCCTCTCCAGCCTCTCCTGTCTGATGATGTCCTGGCCTGGCCTGACCCGACCTGACCCGACGAGAAAAGTACGAGTGAACATACGTTGTCATGTGTAGATCTGAAGATTTGTGGCTTGAATCGTATACGGTGTAAGTAAGGTGGTGCACGAGAGTCCTTGACTGGACAAATTATTTCATGTGACTTGTGATTTCATGTGAAGTATAATTTTTAATCCTGCTCTTCTCAAAGCAATAACTAATTGGTGTAAATGGCAGGGGACATGCAACCTGCTGGGGGGGGGGGAGGCATTTTCTCTGCCCTTTCAATAGCTCTGATTCATTCTGTGATGGGGTTTTACAGGTGCCAATTGACCATCGGTATCTCAACCAAGTGAGTGTGTTAGGCCTCTAAGCAGACAGTGAGTGTCGAAAAACTATTTTATTATTGGAGAGCACCACAGTCGAGCACAAGTCTGCCTTAAGCCAATGCAAGTATGATACTTTCCAGCAGGGGTGACTGCTAATAATCAGGAACAGAACCCCCCTCCAGTGGAGAGGCGCGGAGACCCGTCTGCCGTATAATTCACGACAGATCAGGGATTCAATTTGGCGACTATACGGTTTATAGTGGATTTATATTGTGCTTCCTTTTGCCCATTTTGGAAATGTTAGTGTAGCGAGTTGGATGACGGCGTGGCTGGCAGATTCCTGCGATTAAATTGTATGATTTTGAACAGCAGTAATGTTAGTTTGGCTTCACAGTATGTAGACTAGGTGGGTTAGTTTGCAGGAGTAGTCCAATCTGTTTTGTCTCAATTTTATTTTGCTGATGGCAATAAACAACAATTATGGTCTAGCACATGCAGAAACTCAACACCATGCTAAAAAGTACACAAGCGGATACACTTCCACATATGCATGCCACCTATGCATGGAAGTGTACCTTTGTCTGGAATGGTGTGCACACTGCCTCCCCTGCCTACCTAATTCTGGAAAGTATTTGGTGCAGTTTGCCAAGAATCAAGGTTTGGGTAGATCAATTTCATTTTCGCATGAAAATTGTGCTGGTTTTCAGTTTGTGCATACTTGGAATATTTGACATAATATCCCTGATTAGCTGCTGCCCACTTACCAATAGTGGTGGTCAGGAGTGGTGTATGAATTTCAGGTGACATTGCTCCCGGATTCCACTACCAAGACACAACCTGATAATGGTGGTTGGGAATAATACAAAATGTTCCCCCCCCCACGCCCCCGGCTCGGATTCGGGCTCTGCTATTGTTCAGCGCTCTGAGACTCAACCCTCCATGGAGGGCGTTATATAAGTGCAAGCTGCTGTTGTTGAATGTGTATACTCCAAAACGGTCGAGTGTTAAGACAGTTTAGCCAGTGAGAAGGATGACAGTGATAGCACAAGCATCCTCTGTACTAGTTCAGCTGCCCAAGCTACTATATACACCACCATTTTTATGGTGGAGGCCAGTCCGCAGTGGCAGGAATACTGAGGCTGGATAACTGGTAACATAAACTTAACATTACTGCTTACAATAGGCAGTGCCAATACCCACTGGATCATAAGGGAACCATATGCTGTATTTTTTTAACACCATATCCACATACCAAAAATGGGGCTGCATTGCTCTTCTGCAAAAACTTGTAACTTTTAAAAGTGATTATAACTTAGAGTCTCTCAAAGCAATACGTTTTAAAAGAACTAATTAGTGCAATTGGTGTTAAATGCATTGAGTATTTTTGTAGGCAAACACAACAACAACAAATTTCATTTATACAGTGCCTTTCACATTGGCAGGACGTCGCAAAGCGCTGGGACACGTAAATGCAGATAGGAAAGTTAAGTGGAGTGCCACGTAACTGTGCTACGTGAAATTTAGTGTAGTGGTTAGCACGCCCATCTCGCAAGTGAGAGAACCCGGGTTCGATTCTGGGTGGGGTGAAACCTTAGGCAAATTTCCTTACTCCACACGCCTATTTACCTCGCAGTAACTTGAAACCATGTTATTTTGTTTGTTGATTGGCGGATCACTTTCTGGGGGTAATAATCGCTCCAAAAATAAATGTGGTTACTCAATCCACGACTGTTTGTGGGACAACGCCGTGCACAATTGTCTGCCACGTTTCACCCACAAAATACAGAGTCAATCCACTTTACACTATGCTAGGAGTGTAGCTCAGTGATTAGAGCCACTCGCCTTGCAAGCGAGAGACCCAGGTTCGATTCCCTGCAGGGCAAAACCTTGTGCACGTTTCCTTACTTCACACGCCTGATAATAATCCCTCAAGAAAATAAAAACCCAACAATAAAATTGGTCGCCTCAATCCACGCCTGCTTGTGCGACGGGGCTGCGCGCAATTGGCAGCCGGGTTTCGCCCAGAAATAATGCACGTCACAGTCTATTCCGTGCAGCGCTTTGAGACGTCTCGAAAAGACGTGATAAGGCGCTATATCAAATGCGAGGGTCATAATGATTATATTCTGTGAAGTGCTTTGAGACGTCTCACAGCGTAATCAACTGCAAGTATTATTATTAGCAGCAGCAGCAGCAGCAGTAGTAGTAGTAGTAGTAAAGTCGCTGTAAGCAGCAATGCACTGAGCTCGTCTCCCTTTCTCTCCGGGTTGCAGGGTTTTTTGATGCTCACGCCCTGGCCATGGATTTCATGAGCATCGGCTTCCGCGAGTGCCTGTCGGAGGTGGCCCGGTACCTGAGCTCGGTGGAGGGGCTGGACTCCTCGGACCCGCTGCGGCTCCGCCTGGTCTCCCACCTCAACAGCTGCGCCTGTCAGCGGGAGGCGGCGGTGCTGCCGTCGCCGGTGTCCCACCACCATCACCACCACCACCACCACCAGCACCAGCAGCGGCACCAGCCGCTCCCGCAGCCGCACCCGCACCCGCACCACTGGCGGACCGCCGCCGCCGCCGCCGCCGCCTTCCACCACCACCACCACCACCCGCAGCTCCCCGCCGCCGCCGCCGCTTTGCTGCAGCACCACGCACTTTCCGGCGACCTGCCCCCGGGCTGTGCCAGACTGCTGTCCGCCGCCGCCGCCGCCGCCGAGCTGCCCGCCCACCACCACCAGCAGCAGCACCAGCACCAGCAGCACCACCACCACCCTCCAGCCCCGCCGCCGCCCCCCGGGGGCTCGGCGCTGCTCACGGCCACCCTGGCGGCGGCGGCGGCGGCGGCTCACGGGGAGGCGGGGGTGGCGGGCGGCGGGGGGCGGGGGCGGGGTGGCCGCCCACTGCCTGCCCCCCCTGTCCACCTCGCTGCTCTCGCTCTCGGCCACGGTCCACGCCGCGGCCGCCGCCGCCGCCGCCGCCGCCCACACCTTCCCGCTCTCGTTCGGCAGCTTCCCGGCCGCGCTGCTGGCACCCGGCGGCGGCCCCGCGCTCAGCCCTCCCGGCACGGCAGCCGTGCCCGGCGCCGGCAGCGGGGGCGGCAGCCGCAGCGGCAACGGCGGAGCGGCAGCGGGAGGAGGGGGAGCGGGAGGGGGAGGCGGGGGGAAGCCGTACAGACCCTGGGGCACCGAGATCGGGGCTTTCTGATGGGATGGGATGGGATGGGATGGGATGGAGGCGGCGGGAGGGCAAACCGAGCTCTCCCCCCACCACCGCCCCCCCACCCCACCCCCACCTCCGCCTCTCTCCCCTCTCCTCTCCTCTCCTCTCCTCCCGGGGAAACACAGCCAAGCGCTGCGGCAGCCACTGCAGCCAACACAGCGAGAGACGGACACCCAGACCAGACCAACCCACCAGCCCAGCTCAGCCCAGCTCAGCCCCAGCCCACCAGCCCAGCTCAGCCCACCAGCCCACCAGCCCAGCTCAGCCCCAGCCCACCAGCCCCAGCTCAGCCCACCAGCCCAGCTCAGCCCACCAGCCCAGCTCAGCCCACCAGCCCAGCTCAGCCCCAGCCCACCAGCCCAGCTCAGCCCACCAGCCCAGCTCAGCCCCAGCCCAGCTCAGCCCCAGCCCAGCCCACCAGCCCCTCAGCCCCAGCCCACCAGCCCAGCTCCAGCTCAGCCCCAGCCCACCAGCCCAGCTCAGCCCACCAGCCCAGCTCAGCCCCAGCCCAGCTCACCAGCCCCAGCCCACCAGCCCAGCTCAGCCCACCAGCCCAGCTCAGCCCACCAGCCCAGCTCAGCCCCAGCCCAGCTCAGCCCCAGCCCAGCTCACCAGCCCCAGCCCAGCTCACCAGCTCAGCCCAGCTCATCAGTCCAGCCCAGCTCATCAGCTCAGCTCAGCACAACTTGTTTGACATTTGCAAAAAAAAGACCCTACAAAATGATATTAATGTCTACAATTCGTTAATGGGAAAGAGAGGGGAAAAAATGCAAATCTACATCTCTCCAGAGCTCAGCCGATGCTCCACCACCTGCAATAAAACATCAGTCAGTCTGTCAGTCGCTCAACCCTGAGCTTTAAACACACTCAACCCGTGCAGTGCGGAGTGCGGGGGATGGATACGCGTTGAAGGGCTTTTGTTACGACTCTCAGTGACCGCAATCCAGCCACCTGCCCCGACTCCGCACACGGCCTGCAAACCGCCCGCAATGGACTACACCGAATCCTGGCTGATCTGAGAGAAGTCGCTGTGCTCACCCGGGGGGATCCTCACTCCAATGTGCCTTGTTTGATGTTGCCCGGTGATGTTTCATTGCTCTGCAGCCCAACCTGAACTTTGAGACATTTGACTTTGCAACAAGTCCACCGTTTAGAAAGCCCAGGACGTGATTTAGTCGCTGGTGGAACAGAGGACTAAATAACGATTCGCTTTTTACCTTTGACCACCTGATCTGTCGTTTCAGTTTATTTTTAGTGCACGTTTTGGGACCCATGGAGTTTTGTCACGTTTTGTGGGAACTTTAAGGAATCGTTCAACATCCCAAACTGAAGGGCGTCCACAAATCTCAGCAGCAAAGGAACCGGAATGTGATCTGAATCCATCCACCGCCGCTCTGCTTACTGCCCACTGTAACAGTCAGCAATGTCTGCAGCAGCAACCAGCAATAACATGGAGTGGGGGGGTACACCCTCACACTGTTGTGCCTCTTTGCTCTGAATGTTGCAAGCCTTTGAAATTTGGTTCATTTTTTTAAAAAAAATAAAGCAGCACCACTCTATCCTCTGTGACTGGGACTGACAGGGGCAAAGCGTAGTCACGGGTTTAAGAAAAATTGCCAATAAAGTGATCTGAATTTTCGGATTATGGAATTAAATTCTCCTTCAGGTAAATGAAAGCGGAGTCCTGCAATACAGGTCCAAGATAAATTTACAAAACAGCCTGGTACTTTTAACACTCCGGACTGACCTATAAATCTTTTCCACCCTATGTTGCTCGAAATAACCATCTTTCCAGTCGCCCACATTTTAAACACAAAACTCTTATTAATTGGACACCAAAACCTAAAAGTTGAACCGCACCACTGCAAATGTGTCTTGACCAAAGATCTTCTGCAGCTTTTGCTGAAAGTGTTAAGACTGATATCTGCCAAGCGTCACCTTGTAGGAGTGACATATCAATTATTTTGGTGCCGTGATCTGCTTCCATATTTGTGTCTCTCAAACCTATATATTGAAGTGCCACACTTGCTGATCTAAGTGTCAGTCTGTATATTTCAACGCTCTGCGATTCTCCACCCTACTTGTAGCAATACCAGTTGAGGTGAATTGTTAATAAGGGCGCAATATTAAAAGGCAAAGTTACTGAGGATTTTAGGTGCCTTGTCTTAATCTACTTCATAATACACACAACGGTATTTCCGAATGCAGTACAAACAGGTTATCTTTTGCCTTTTCTAAACAACAAGTTTTACATTTAATGCATTGTAATTTATTGGTGTCCCCAACGGCCTTTACTGCATTTAATTTTTCTTCATTATTTACCTACGATGCTTTTTATTTTAATGGACTCCTTACCTGTAATACATTGGTTCCCCCATGTAATAATGACAACTTAAAAGAGAATGGGAAATGCATGAATGTGTTATGTATTCATGACCAGAGAGAGAGAGAGAGGGGGGTGGACATTTACTGCCGAGGCTCAGGCTTGAAGAATAGTCATTTGAGTGAGGTAGCTGACGGTAACTGGTGCCAGTCACAATCTATCCCATTACAATTTGCTGTGTTTTAAAGAGCAAGACAACGTGGAGGGTAAAGCTTGAAAGCATCAAAGTGAAAATGCACATTGTGTCGACATCACCATTTATAGAAAAAAATGTAGTTCTGCCTATTAAATCCCAAATTGCATTGATAATGCATCATTCCTATAAATTTATGCTACTGCATTTTAGTGTAAGCTTCCTTGCTTATTACTTTTACTGCTTAAAATGGATTTATTTATATAGTGATACAACTTTTTAACTTTTGCTCCCAAGATAATTCCATGATTTGAAGGAAGGGGTGCTCACCCAGAATATCTTAGTTAGTTCAAGAGTAACGTTTATCATTAAAGTATTAATGCTTCGATGGCTTTATAAATAATTTTGCACAATAACTCATAAATAGCCTCTAAATACACACCTAAAATGGCACCTAAAGACCATGGAAGAATTAACCACAGTAAATTAACTTGTCCAGTTGTGTACAACTTGGGGTGAGAGATAAATTTCAAGCCCATGTTCGTAACTGTCCACAAAATAAGTTAAGGTGTGTTTGGCATTGAATGTTAAAGCTTCGTTTTACACATCAGATGCAGCGTTACTGGTCCACAGCAGAAAGATAATATTCCAACAGTTTTTTTTTAATTTATATAAATAGTCCCACATTTTATAGACTATGGGATGAAAATGATTGACAGGTTCATTGTCCTCCTATCAGATCTATTAAGAAGCATTACAATTGTCACACTGATATGTCTGTGGAAGGCAGTACGTAATTGAAACAATAAACGTGTACAAGTGACTTCCTATATGTGTGAGTGCAATCTCATATCAGCAACAAAAATACGTTCCCGTGTCCTGTAAAACAGTCACACTCCCACTAATCTATTGCGCAGAGTTCTGACACCAAAAGGCTAAAGCAAATCATCTTTAATTTTGAGCCCTGTTCCAAATATAATTTTGTCATCTAGTTAAGTACAATATGAAATACGATGTGTGAATATGTTTGTATGTAAGATCAGAAACTAGAATTTGTGTATAAATAGAAAACTAGTTAATATGTTGCACTTGGATTCTCTGCTGTGTGGAGAAGACAGTGATAATAAAGACGTTTACTGATTGCAGAAGATGACAAATGTACATAATGTGGTCAAAATGACACTTTTTTGCTTATTTACTGCATTCTGTAATCCTTTATGCATTAAATGTTTATAAATATACACTGGTTTTCCAACAATGAAGATGTGGTTTATTTGAATGTGCTGTTGTACAGTATCTCAGAAATGTACCTTGTGTTACTGGCAGGTTGATGCATACCTGAGGAAAGGATATGGAAGAGAAGAGGGAATTAGGAGGATGGATGCTCATGCACAGAGTAGATGGCCTGTTTTTTTGTGTAATGTTCTACGTAAATGTATGTTTTGTGCGTTACATTATACAGGGAGAGAAACCCATGTTCAATATCAGACCAGTAGAATGTTTATTAATTGGGCTCAGATACAGAGGAAACAAACTAAGGATAGCTTTGTTGCCATCCTTCAACTATTATTAATTATTTTCAAATATTTTTTATTTTTGTTCTCTTTTGCAATTTGTTTGTTGACTATCTTTATTCAACAAAATATTTTCCCATAAACTGATCCAGAAATAAGGTAGCCGTGATCTGTACAGTAAACCCTACCCTAGCAGAGTTCCATTCCTAATGGTGAACAATTATTCCACTTGTAGCAACCTATTTCCTGGAACTTGTGTATTTTTTTAATACAATATCAAATCCTCTCCAAGATAGAAGTGATTATTATGCAGATTCGTTTTACAGTATAAAGTAACTAATCTTTGTTTACAACCAAATATGAATATAAATACAAGATCTGGCAGAAACTAAAAGCACAATATACACAGTATAAAAATAATTTGATGAGAAAGCCCATAATGGATGAATTACTCTTAGTAAGAACAGCTCTTGATTTAGCTTAAGAGCCATTGAGGAACACAGTTATTTTTAGTGCTGAGTGAATCCAGCCTTTCTTTTCTCCCTCAGGCAGAGGCTGGTGATGAGAATATTTGAAGTGTTCAAGCAACAGGTTCCAAAAGAAATCCCTTGCTGTGACAAAGCCCTTGTGTTTAACCCCTTATGTGCCAAAAACATTTTCCTGGGAAACACTGGCTGGAGTTGTTCCCAGACAAAAACAAAGATAGTTTCTGTGTACATCCAACTACAGACAGGAAATAGGCATGGGAATTTGCAGCCGCCATTAATAATACCCCACATATTTTCCATTAAAGTCAGGAGAAAAAAAACTATAAAGTGTAAGAGTGAATATGTATATGTCCAATTGCTCAGAAATATGAAGATTTATTCAAACTGGTTGATGTTAATAGGTTCAGGATCTTTACATATTCGTACAGAAACGAAACAGCACTCAGGACAAACCAATAACCTCTATC